ATGGCCTGGGCCACGCGAGAGCCCGGAGACCTCCATCAGCGGTATGGAAACACGTGGTTTTAATAAACACCTTTCTCTAAGGGAGCTGGACTTCCTTCGTGTGCACGTACCAGGCTTTAGAAGCAGCACCATGCTCACAGACACTGCCGCCATCCTTCTCTTCCCCTCTGCACAGGCAGAAGCAGCTAGTTGATTTAGCCTTGCTCATGAACGCGGCCAAATCACGGCAGGTTATGGGGGCACATAACCACTGCAAACAGAAAGACAACACCATACACTTAACCTTGCCTTCAGCTCTGATCACTAATCACAACCTGCCTGTGGCTCTAGTAATGGCAGAGGTCATTTTCTTTCTGCATTTCTAGCTTTAGTAATGAGGAGATATCCGGACAGGGCAGCTCCAATAACATGTGTGTTAAAACAGTTATCTTTGCCCCACTCTGCCCAAAATTTGGTTTGGAGATAGCTCACCCTCCCTATTCCCCTTGTGATTATCCACAGAAGTAACACAACCCTAGTATAAGAGATGGACCTCTCCACACGTCTGGAGAGGCAACGCAGTGGTTTGAGTCTAAAACCTGCCGGCAGGATCAAGAGGACAGAAGGCTCTGGACAAGCAGATCTTCTCCCCAGTGTAGGTTTCAACTACATTTTACTAGGACCTGCTTCATGCCAGGTCAGGGGCTGACACTAGCCACAAAAGTAATACATTTGGTCAAATTAAGTCACATTTGGGACTGGTGTGTCATAGGAGATTATCTTGAATGCTAAGTTTAATTTGAATTATTTTTCTTCCTGTATCCATTTTAATGAAATACAGGAGCTGATGAAGTTTGCTTTTTTTTTTTAAAAAAAAAAAAATCCCCTGTAAGGCAGGTTTTCCTCCTCTTAAGAAGCTCTACACTTATCACACTGAACTTTAATTAACCAGGATGTTTTAGTCAGAATTATAAGCTATCGTGCCATTAAAAAAATATGTTGCTGTTCAAAACCCACTGGGACTCAATCCTGTGTAACATGCTCTAGGTGACCCTGTGAGTGCAAGGGGTTTGGAGTAGATGATCTCTAGAGGTCCCTTCCCACCCTTATGATCCTATGATTCAGTCCACATACATCTTCCTTCTTATCCAATAGTAGCACATGAGAAACACACACGCAATTCCCTCAGGCTTTCAGTTTTCTTCATGAAGTTAACACTATGATGAGTCATAAACAAAAAAACAACAAAAAAACAAAAAAACTCAAAACGGAGATGTTGTATTCAAAAGAGGAGTTTAAGACCTGAACTCATCAAAGCAAACAACTATGAGAACAAGCAAGTTGGAATCGAGTCTCTCCACGAGGCTGCCGCTACGTTTCACCAGCTGCCCACCGCGCTCAGGCCAGCGGGGAGCCCAGCCTCGTCCCGACCGCTCCCGAGCTCCGAGCCCGGCCCCGGCCCAGCGCCTCCTTCTCGACCAGCCTCCGCGTGCACGCGGCTGCAGACGCCCGCCCGAGCAGCACAAAAACAAATGTTAGTTTTGCTAGATCAGGCGCTTTTGGATGAGTGGGAAGGGAGCATTTTGTCATGTTTCTTCCAGTGGAGAACAAGTGGCTATTTCAGTTCAAAGACTATTTACCAGTACAATACACTTGCGCTGTTTATATGTGGGGACAGGGAAAAAAAGCTAAGCAGGAACAGAGGACATAACAGCAGACAAAATGGGTTTACTTCCTGGAAAACAGCTGAAATACAAGACCCTTTAAAGCAATGCTAAAACACATTAATGTCATCACCTGCCTTCATATGCAATTCAGCCATTCTGTGCTGCTTTATTAATTTTCCATTAAGGTCATTTCTACTGAAACCTATTATTCACTGCCAAGATGAAGCTACCGCTCTAATACATAAGCATTAACCTCCATAAAATAATTAAAGGATGGATTTTCAACATGAGACCTTGCATGTCACCTCTCTGGATCCTAATGTGCCTTTCAATGGCCTCAGATATAATGGGATGTTCAAATATAGAAAGTTGAGTTACTGTTTTTCCTCAGTTGTGACATTTACCAGCCAGAAAGATCCAACTTCTCAGCTACATTACTTATAATTTACTTTTGACCTTAGGCAGTTGAGAGTAATCTTTAAGGAAGCAATCCTTTTAATCTCCTTTTTATATTAGCATTTAATTACTCCAACAAGTTTCCAGATGTACAAATTATAAAGGACTAAATCTGTTCCTCCCTTTCAAACTGCAGTGTCACAGAGGCATTTTTTAAGCTTTCTTCATACTCAGACCAGCCAAGCATTTTATCTCAGCATTTGTTCTTCTTTAGAGCATCTATTTATTTTTAATTAATGGATTTTAGGTCAGAAGCCTTTTCTAATGCAATACTGCCTCCTCCTTGAGCAGCACAGCCCAGCAGGGCTCTCAGATGGCACTGCACTACTGCTTTTCTTACAAACACAGCAGCTCACATGCACATCCAAGAACACACAGGAAGCACATCAGGAAAATGCATCTTTTAGAAACGTGAGGCACAATCACCATCAACAGAGCAGTGTTTTCGGCCAGGCCATACTGCAGCTTTCTGTAAGAGCAGCAGAGAGAAAAGTGGCTAATCTTACTTGCATAAAACAGTGTCCCATATGACTGGAAATAAATACAATTAAGGCACATTATTAAAATGAAATGTTTTACGCAATAGTTAAACTGATGTGATAGGGCCAAAGACTTTTCTTTTTCTTTTAACAAAAAAGAAGCATCCAGCTAGTGCTGTCTCTCTGCACCCAGTCGGTCGTCGCCAGGCTGGGGCAGGGGCGCTGGGAGCGGCGCGGATGAGCTCCGGAGGGGCTGCCCATGGGGACCCTGGCGCCGCAGGCTGGGCAAGGCCCTGGGAAGGGGCGGAGGCAGAGGAGGGCAGTGCCCGGCCTGCCCCCACGCACAGGAGGCAGCAGGCTGGGCTGCCCAGGCTCGTGCGGGCGCAGGGCAGGGACGTGGCCGGAGCTCCCTCCGCCCAGGCTCGCAGGAGACCCAGGGAATCACGCAGGAGCCTCCGGGACAACTATGGGAAAGGAGAAGGGCTTTGTGGCGCACACCAGGATCTTGCAAGGTCAGCTCGGCATCGTGGCGGGCATCAGGAGAGGCCCAGCGCTGCCTGCAGGGGCACTGCGGGCCGTTATCCCAAAACCACTGCAGAGGAACGACCGGCCTATGTCATTTTAAGATACACTGAAAGTCTGCATTAAGCTATAATGCTTCTGAAGGAAGGAGCTTAGCATTGCCTTCACAAAATTATGCAGCCCATTTTGCAGAAGAAAATGTGTCACAATGGATAAATCCTTTCCCTAACCCTATTTTTTAAAGGAAACACGTTGCTAATGACACGCACGTTTTCTCGACAAGCTACCTTACAAAGAATGGTCTGAAGTAAAACTGCATCCTTCATGAAGCATCAAATATTCTGTAAAATACCCCACATCTTCCATGCTGCCACACCCTACGAAAGCGATGCTCTGGAGAGCTGTGAGATGCAACGTGTGCACGCGGCGCCGCTGCCTCTTGGCTCTCCCCGCGCGCTGGTGGCGCCGGCCCCGCGCCAGGGCCCCGCACAGCGGCCGCGGGGACAGGGAGGCCCGAGCCCGGCCCGGGGGCGGCGGAAGGCATGGAAGGCAGCCAGTGCCCTCGTCCTGTGCAGCCAGTGCCCTCGTCCTGTGCCCGCCCGAACGCAGCGCCTGCCCCTATAGAGCTCTGCAGAACATTCGTTTCTCAGAAGCTGCCTTTGTTTTGCAGCCATTCATTTAAATGGGCTCTGCTGCGCCCCTTTCATGCCTCTCTCCATCCAGCAGAGACCAAATTAAGCTTTGAAGTTTCGTGAGAAATCCCATGAGACTTTAGTGCTATTTCCCAAAACTGGAGGAATTAGAAAAGAGGGAGCACAAGAGCAGGAACTACTCCCTTGCTCCTACTGCTTGTTACAGCCTGCGCCTGAAGTGACCTAGAACAGCAAGCTCTTTTCTCCAAGGTATCAAAAACCTACACATTGCTTAGAAAACTAGCAGCCTAGGAAAATGGAAAAGTTTTCCCATAAAAGGAAGGGAGAATTAAGCACTGCAATTTTGTATAAAACTGGGTAGCTGCCAGCTTGACTTAAAGTACACAGGCTGTCAAAATGGCTATTTGCAGCAATTTTCCCAGCACAGCTACAGTCCAAGGAAATCCAGTATTTTTTTTGTTTGTTTTCAGGGAGAAAAACAACAATTCAGCACAAGCTAGAAAGAGCTCGTCTGAAAACTGCAACAATAAACAGGATGCATCTGGAGTTGGCCTAATACGTGCTAATCTGCTCTCATTAACGCTGTGCCTCCCACTATTGCAGACCTGCTCTATGAACAACCACATACCGCAGAAGAAAGCCCAGATGCGCATGTGGATGAGTGATCAAATTCCTAATAACGTGAATTACTGCATGTCCCTGAATATAATTCTAGAAACTACGTTCTACCAGAAATGACTA